TATCCAATCAGATGTGATGTAAATCATCATTTTAATCACATGATCACGACTGCCATTTTTTTCCGCCACTACTGTATGAATGAGACTGAGATGGGATGTCTAGTAGGGAATAGCATAGATTTAACGAGCATCTCAAATCACTCATAACAGAACGAATGGTAGCTATAAAATGCAAAGGCCTCAAAACTATACAAATAAATGATTATGCAGGGTATATAGTTACAAGCAATTAGGATATTCCACTCAAAATAGACATAGGCAATTCTCGTATAGTCTGTTTTGACATCTCTGCATGCTGTAAAGATAATATACCATATTTTAACCAGCTAGGGGATATTCTAGACCATCCCGATGTACCAGAAGTAGTAATGGCATATCTTCTTAGCCGTGACTTATCAAATTGGAGTTTAGGAGAAATCCCTTCTATAAAATGAAAGTAGATACAATGCGGGACCAGCTTCCCAATCCCATTCAATTTATGATTAATCATATTGCATCTTGGCCTATTGATAATGTAGATAGGAGAAGTCGTATAATACTATATCAAAATTATTTTGATTGGTGTGAAGAGAATGGTGAAAACCATTGGCTAGTAAAGTTGCTGGAAAGAAGTTTTCTCAAATTGGAATTGAGAGTAAACAGGTATGAGCGGATAGTGAAAAAGGGGAATGGCAGTATATTTTCGACTGCTCCAAAATTATAGCCAAACTTCAAGAATCTGGCTTAGGTGATATGGAAGAATTTTCTGAAAATACATCTCAATCTGACTTACCTGAACATGAGATAGCAAACATATCCATATTCAATGTGCCAGAAATTATTTTCCAAAAATAATCCCGCCTCTTACAGAAAAGAATACGCCTCCACCTAGAACTAGTAAAGATAAGAAGGCGGATAAACAGGATGAATTGACCCAGGACCTTTTCGACTATATAGCAGAAGATACACATGCGATCCCTCTGGGATCTGCTCTAGTTGCCTTAACATCTGATACTTCTGAGGCTTCTGAATCACCCAAGCCAGTAATCGATAAGCCTGAAGTCAATAAGCTTTCCAAAACTAATGAGCTTATAAGTAAAATCATGAATACATCACCTAAAAAACAAGTGTCAAGCGTGATTTATCCAAGTCTAATGAAGTATTATCTGCCATACTTCTGTTCAGAGCCCAGCGAGAAGAGCACCTCAGAAAAAAGCAATCAAATTAGGTGAGAATCCAGACATTTTCGTGATTATTACTGAAAAAGACAGGCTCGATCTATTGCATTTTGAGACAGGATGGCAACTGATTCACAGACATGTACTTGGGCTGTTGAATTAGAGGATGACCTCATCAGTATATGGAAATGACAATATGGAAAAGATTGATAGGAGAAGAAATAATCTGTCGTGGTCTTAAGAATGAGGGAGTTACATTCTTCTGGCTTGATACCAACGAGAAATGGAAAAAAACAGTAAGCATATTTTAGGAGAATGGTATGCTTTGGTAAAGAGCGAATAAAAAGCCAGTTTATAAGAATGGTATTTGGGTAAGAGGGTCTATTTGTTCTTTACAACTAGGCGATAAAAAATTTTAAATTATTATTATTTTTTTTTCACTTATCTCATCTACCCGCAAATTTCAAATCAATGTAAAACATATCCCAGCCTGAGTGGCTGACCTCATAGAGACTCTGTATAGGTTATAACATTATTTTTCGCTTCCTTAACCTTCTCAAGAGCTGTCTCTGATATTTTTCCTTTTCAAAGAAGCATAGCTTTGAGGAAAATTTTCGAATTGAATTTTTTCCTGCGTAATATAACTTAACGGTTATACATAATCTAATAGTTACTTCATAGACTATATTCAGATTACTATGTTCACGATTGTAACAAAGTATGTTGCAGATTATAAATTCAATAAAGAGATGAGAAATAATGAACTTAGCTAGCACACTTCAGCATTACTCGAGCTTTTGACAGATAAAGTGAAAAGAGACAAGGGTCGACAGCGCTTATAAAAAGTGTATAATTTTAGTAAAGAGCAAGCATTTATATTAGTTCCTGATCAGAGAATTTGTCAAAGTAGAAGTCGAGTAGCCCCCAAAGAAGGAGGGGATGAAGCAGGAAAGTTAATATATGCCAAGTATCCGATATCATCCCAGACAGAGAAACTGTCGAAATGATAGCTCAGCGAATTACTTAAGATAATCTTAGCGAAAAAGATGTAATATCTATAGCTAAAGCCTTAGCTGAATTTGCCTCTAATTCTAGCGCTAGTTCATCCCGAATCTCTAGGCTTCGAAGTAAGTTGTAAAATCTTGAAGCCTCTGAAAAAATTGTCTCAGCTACATTGATTCCATAGATAACCTGTTCATCTAATAAAATTCAAAAGGAGCGTAGAGAGCAACGTGAAAATAAAGGGATTGATTTTCCTGACTACTTCTCATTAGAATTAGTTAAGGAAAGATTGGATGGGTATGACATGTCTAACATATCTGATGTGCAAGTCCTAGCCGATGTAATGATCATGCTCTGCATCTATTCCGCTGAAATTAAAGACTTGCGTATTTCTAATGGAAGTATAACTGGATATTCAAAAAACCGAGATGAGCAAGATAATCCTCAGGTGTTTAGATCATTAGAAAGAGATAAAGAGTGGGCTAAACTTCTTCTTACTTGTATTCAGGGTGTAATTTCTTCTGGACAGTTGAGGGATCCAGGAGTATGAGGAGTTAAATGGTTTAATATATTTCTGAAAAAAGATAGATTTCTTCCTGAAACTGGTAAACCACTCCTTTCTAGCTATTTACACAAATTAGGGGCAGTATTTACGGTCATTTCAAATGGTGCGAAGAATTTATCAAAAGCTATGACGATTGCCAGCCAAGCCTTTCGACATTCGCCAGACAACCATGCCTCCTCAACGCAAAACTATACTATAGTCAATTTTCAAAAAAGAGGACAGCCTTATGATCAGATAATGATATTTGAGCTCTTCGACGAAAACTAATCACATACTGTATATGGATTAGAGAATCAGAATATCATTTATTAATTTTATTTTTTCGCTCGAAGCAAGATATAGCATATAGAATATATCGCAAAAATGATAACTGATAAAAATCATTCATCTGATAGTATATCTAACGAACAGGAAGTTATCAGACATACAAAGAACTTAGCCTGAATATTTAGATTAAATGAACAAAATGCAGAAGTATATAGTGCACTTTCTGGTGAAAATAGAGGCTAAAGAAATAGTTGGAAGATTATCATTCCCAACATAACACTTTAGAAAAGAGGGTAAAAAGATTGGAAAAAGTTATAGGATCCTTAAAAGTCGAATTAGAAGATCTGAATGAATGTATGGATAAAAAAACTGTAGTCGACTTAATACATGAAATAGTTTTCTTACTGATTGGTAAGAAAGATAAGGATTCCTCCTATTCGTCTGAATCAGTTCGTCTGAATCCAGTTCGTCTGATTCTGATATTGATGAAATAGTAAATATGATTAAGCATCAAAGGATTCGGGAGCATCTAGCCCGAAGGAAAGATCAGAAAAAAGATACAAATAATAAAAAAAGCTAATTAGCTATCAGATAAATGCCAGACCGCAGTGATAGAGGTTGGTCACTCTAGGAGTGGTTTATTTTTTATTTGAATATTATATGCCATAATAAAATGAAACTCATAAATTGCGCAGTTGAAAAAAATAATCCCACCCAAACAGTACTTGACATAAGCACTAATGTAAATTGTATTAGTGGAAAAAGTGTTGATAGTATGAAAATGGTATACGAAAAAAGATGATAGTAATTCTAAAGTAAACAGGTCTTATTTCACATTAGGAAAGGTTAATCTGCATATTATCCTATGATGATAAGAAGCATAAAAGCATACCCAGTAAATTCATAGTTGTTAGATCAGATTGGCCTGATCATTTTTCTTATTTAATCTTAGGAGGTTCTTGATTCTGAGAAAGTGATGCAACTTTAGATATGCATAATTCATTATTAACCATAGATGATAATTTTATGATCCTATTCAAAAAAGTAGACTATATTTCGACATTATCTGATAGTCAGATCTGAGCTATGACTGATTTTTTCAACCCAACTAATAGTCTGAAGCAATGATAATTAGCCCTAGAAGATTTTTGGCTGGGCCACAATTCTTAAGCAGATCTGTGAAATGATTAACCTTGTTTTTTTTTTCGATTAAAATATAATCTAACTATAAAAATAATGTATACTGCTAATTTGTTGGAAATTCTTCCGCCTGAGCTAATATCATTCATTCTAAGGAATCTTGGGATTCAGGATCTTAAAAACTGTCGAAGTATAAATGATATATGGAAAAGAGAGGTAAGTCCTGAATTAACTAAAAGAATGACTCTCATGCATTTTCAAGTTGGGAATTTGGTTCAAGATAAATATAAGGCAAAGGAATTTTTTCAAAGCTAAAAGAGTGCAACATGAGCATAAACCATTCCGAAGAACATCTTAAATAACTATTTCTCAAAGAATTATCATCTGAGAATCAGTTAAAAGTTCATATAAATGCTTTACAAGTACTTGGGTTATATGACATAGTGGAAAGGCTTAGTCAGAAAGAGTGATTGCATAATTTTTTCGCTGATTAAATATAAAATATAAAATACAATACTTAAAATAGCTTATATAGAATGTAAAGTTTGGCATTTTCAAGAAGATGATGATATTGATCTAAAAATTCGTCATGAAGTAATGAAAGTAGGATGTAGATATTATACAGTCAAGGTATTGATAGATACATCATCTAGAGTAAATTTTATTAGAAGAAGCTTAGTCGATAAGCTCGAAATGAAGTATATTAAATATAAAGAAAAAAACAGGTTGGAATGTCTGGATTTATCTTTCCAATATGAAGGAAAAGATAGACTAGTATCTACTAATGGTGATGATGTTTTTAATGATTTTGAGATTACTGAAAAGTCAAAAGCGGACCTTGTATTAGGATTACCATGGTTATGACTTCGTGAAGCAAAAATAGATATGAAAAACAAGGATTAACAATTTATGACAATTTTGTACCATTTTGCAAGGAGACAATCTCATTTGAGTCCAAAGAAACCAACAGCTCCAAATATGCGAGTCTGAAGTAGTGATCGCGTAATTATATTTTTTGTTAAAGATACAACATATATTATTTATGACGCATACAAGTGTTTTTATTATACCAGAATTATTAGAACAGATTTTACATTTCTTATTGATAGATAAATCCCTCTATTTCACTCTATATGTTTTCCGATTGTGGTATAGATGCAGTGCTTCTATTTTGTGGAAACGCATTGAGCTAGAGTAGAAACAACACTCTCAATTAAAAAAATTTATAAAAATAACACGGAGAAGATCAAAGCTGATTTTTAGCTCAAATCTAGTATATCTAGAAATTTCACACTACCATCCACTTTCAGATAAAAAATTTAATGACATTGCGCACTTATTCTCAAACATAGTTCATTTAGATTTAAATTTTAACACAGGATTTAGTGATAAAACACTAAATCAAATAGCAGAGACATACCCCAATCTGAAGTATCTCAATTTGCAAAAAAGTAGGTATATAAGCTATAATGATAGGATAGTGACTGATAAAGGTCTATGTGTAATTACACAGTCGTGTCATAAACTAAAATATCTAAATATTTCTAATCGCATAGATATTACTGAAAAATCAATTTGTAATATTATTCATTCTTGTCCAAGGCTCTAACAATTTGATCTTAGCTTTTGTAAAATTACCGATATAACTATCAAAGAGATTATTAGTTTGTGTCTTAATTTAAAGTATCTCAAATTGGAAGGGTGTGATAATGTTAGCAAAGAAGCTGTAGATCAGCTCATTTCACTTAATCCAAATATTCATATTGAGAATTGCATGTGTACTATAACACCAGCCTCTTTTGGTGCATATTCCAGGATGTATGAACTGTCAAGGAGACTGGGAATGTCAGTTGATGCATCAAGAGATATTATGTCTATACATGATTATGTTAACAATGAACTAATAAGGAGAATGGATATTATTAGAGCAAGCGTTAGTGTTCTGCAAATGATCTGATCTGGAGGGATTTTTTCTAATTCTCACGTACGTATTATAAAAAAAATATAGATTAGCTAACTTGTTCTAGACATGGATCCTGATCAGTACTAGCTGAATTTTTCTACACAATAAAAATAACGGTAGTCCTCTCTAGTAAAATAAAACGTTTTACTCTTTATTGATAAATTTCTGTATTATCACACTTGGAATGTCTGAACTTTTGAATATATATATGCTCTTACATCTTTCTCAGCTTCTTCTTTTATCATTTCTTCATTAGTATAACTGATAATACCAAGATAATGTTGAATCATGCATATTCTCTTCCAGATATAAAAGCAAATGGTATTTTTCTCTAAGTGAAAATTCCCCTAATGATCAAATGATAAGATCTTCTCTATATCGATGTAATGTATTATGGGTTAGATGGCCACCAATCTCAAGATGCTTCTCTATCGATATAATTATCTCCACTAAATCAAACAATAATTTACCTGTATAATTAACTATTTCTGCTTTCTTGCTTTGATTCAATGCTGTTTGGTTTGCATTGTCATTAATACAAAGTTTTCTTTTGGCTAGGTAATCCTGAATAGCTAATGCATCCATCTTCTTGTACAAAAGCACTTCATATAGTTGATTTTCAAGTATTTTGCTTTGAACAAATTCATTATTAGTATTTCTTGTCATAATTGTGTTTATCTCTGGTTAGCATATATTCAATTTTGTGTCTGGAATATTGATTATCAACCCAGAGAGGTGATCATCAACCAGATAATTTTTTGCCAAAACTAGGCAGGCTTGTGCATGTACTCATATGCGACAGAAACAAGTAATGATCAGCCTATTTTCTGATTAAAAATATTTAATTAATCTACTAGTAAAATGTTAGATGATGAGATAGATGAAGGCTACAATAAATTTATCAAAGAATATGGATCAAAAATATGAATGGGATAATAAAGGGAATCCTGATGAGTGTGGATATTGGAATGACCTTTTTTGCATAATCAAAACCTACTGGGGGATAAAGGCAGTTAGGCATTGGAGGAAGAAAGCGCTTAAGCAATTTGTATATACATTGCTCAGTATAAAAAATCTAACGTCATTATTTCATGTATTCCTACAATCTGATTTCGCAAATATTGAGTCTGATAAAATTGCCATATTGTCTGCATGAACTTCGAAGGGAAATATGGCCAGATGGTATTGAGAAATTCTGATATAGATTATTTACTCAAGATGGAGAATCAATAGTGGATTACTGTTTAAAGGTGAAGAAATGTAATGATACCGTTAAACTTTGTAAAAGTTATTTTAGAAGTGAATTCTATAGTGGATTAACGTGAGAAAATATGAGCAAAAAATAATTATTATTGTGAATTAGTAGAAATGCTTATTCAGGCGGAAAAAGAATCAGTAACTGATATTATAACTAGAATTAAAGATTATATCAGTCAGTCCGGCATTGCTAATAATCTGAATGTAGTGTAATACTTATTGAGAGGCATACATTAGGTAACTAACCTGAGCAAAGGTAGTCCAGAGCAGTAATCTTCAACTCAGAAAATTTTTGCTGAGCCACAATGCATGTACTCATGTGTGACAAAAAATAGGCTGATCATATAACAGGTTTGTGCGATATATTAATTTTTTTGCATATATTCGAAAAAGAAAACATATTAACCTTTATCTTTATTTTTTTCTGAATAAATATGAGAAAATGTGAAAGGAGGTCTACATGCAATATAGGACCTATCCTATAAGTAAATAGTGCTGACAAAAGTATATGTTATGAAAGGTTGAGGGACTCACAATTTTGAAATCACCAGGCGTAAAACCAACTATATGTCTTTCTGGTAGATCTACATGTAAAAAGATATAAAGATTCTGTTTACATGTGCTTTCAAGGGAATCTTGGTATCAGATAAAAATACTAATCACTTTTCTTATCTCTTTTTTTAGTGGAATATAAAGCATGTAGCGGTGTGTGAAAGTTTCTGTCTACTAACTTTCCACAAAATTTATAAGGTACGTATATGTCAGAAGTTATATATGTATGGGAATGAAAATTTCTTACTATAAGACATTGTATTTAGGAAAACAAGATGTCTTCCTAGGCCGAAATTATAAAACTGAAAGACTTATCAGCTTTTTGAGGAGTGATTCAAAATTAGAAGGCTTAAAACTTGATGATAACTTTTTTACGAAGTTTCGTGATGAAAATATCACTGGTGATTTATTTCTTAGGCTAACAGAATGAACTTTAAAGAAATATGGAATGACATTAAGACAGGCATTAGAACTTAAGAACTACATTAAGAAATTGTGTGAGTAATTAAATATTTCTTATAACTGTATTTTATTGATAAGGTCTTTATTATCCTAATAGTCTTACTTTATAAATCAAGATAATCGAAAAGAAGCATTAGGAGTTTACCTTATGAAAGGGTCTAATTCGAAATCAAGTGATTTCCCAATCAGTTAGAAATTTTTTATCTATATTTGTGTCATGTAAAGCTATATATTCGCAATTTTTTATGTATTAGTTGCTCTGGCAATGTATTTTTTATTTCTTAAATAAAGCATATATTATGTTCTTATTGTAAATCTTGAAAATTGTCACATAATCTTTTTATCTATTACTATACTAACTCAAACTTTTGAAGTATTTCATCTTATATAAAAAATATTATCAAACATGCAATCTGAGATTGATTCATTGAGAGAAATAAATTCAAAGCTCTTAACTGAGATTACAGGATTTAGAAAGGAGAATGCCAAAGTCAAGGCTGAGAATGTAAAGTTAAAGCATACTTTGGAAGAACATGAAGCAAGATTCATGAACCTAGAACAGAGAGATGAAGAAAAGGCTACCCTTATTACTAAATTAGATGATGATATCAAGGAAATCAAACAGGAATAAATGCTGTTAATATTTCAGTATAAAGCAATACATCTATACCAAAGTCTTCAATCGATTCAATACCTTTATCTTTAGTGCTTTCAGCAGATCAAATTAATATATCACTTGTTGCAGACCAGTATGATATTACCAAATCTGTGAAGTATTTTAACAGCAAATTATTGGAGGATGATAGAAAGACGAATGCTTTCTTAGATGATATGCATAAGAAAAGGTTAGTAATGAGATTAGGCAAAAAAATCGGGAAAAGAAACTTAGCCAATCACATGTGCTTTCTCAGGACTCATCCTTAACTACTTCTGAATCGCTTTATAGTGAAGAGAAACAGGTTAATTTATCAAAGTGGCAAAAATTCCCTATAATCAGAAAGTAGAACAAGATTTAATATGTGAATTACTTGAATTTATTAGATGTCATAATTCTACATCCTTACTGAATTCTATATCTAGTAAACATGTTTTATTTAACATGATCCCTCTGGGATCTGCTGATTGAACTCCAGGTTCTGTATCTTATTTAGCTCATTTATTTGATAAGGCTGAAAAAACTGGTCAGAAAGAAAAATTACAATGGTATTACTATAGCGAGGAATATGAAAAAAGGGTCGTAACCCTTAGATCCAAAAATAATATTAGCAATCAAATGTCAAGAACACAGATTTATGATGAAATGGAGCTGAATCAAAAAATTCATCAGATGTCAGGATAAGCATTCCACCTATATCAAAAACCAATCAGACTAACGAACAAGCCCAATCTAAGCTAACTTATGACCGATCCTATTTTCGCAACAAAATATTAGATCAATATCCTAATTTGTATAAAGAATTTAATAGCGAAAATTTCAATTATTATGGCATTACTGATGAGACATCATGCTCATTATGCAAGTTAGACCATGGTGATGAGGAAGGTATAGAAGGTAAATATACATCCAGATCTTATTTTATTAAATGTAAACAGCGTGAAATTGAGATAACTGCATAGTCTCATTATTTTATAATACTACATTTGTTCACATTTCATTATGTGATATTGTTTTTTACAGGTCAGCTACTACCTAATTAAATTTAAATTGATTTATATAAAAAGCAACATGACTAAGTCTGATAAAATATTAACTCCCAAATATCTGAATTAGCATGCCAAATTAAGTGGGTTACCAAGTATTTTGACAGATAAGATTTGTACCAAATTATACAAAAGATATAAAAAAGAAACTGGATGTGAACCATGGGCAATTATCAGAAGCTGTGACAAGTGTATCAGCAAAACCTCAAGCCTCTGTTTTTAAGCCTATCACTTACAAAGCCAAATCCTATCTAGAATTAATTATTGAATCTGTCTTAGAGCATTTCACATACCTGAAATTCCGAAATAATTTTAGGGGGATTGATAATTATAATTTTGCCATAGAACTTATCATGTCTTATTTGTGATGGAAAACATGGGAATTATGGATTACACAGTGAATGGTATAGAAATGGAACAGAATATTGTCTTACCTGCAACAGTTCAAACAATAAACTCAAGATCGTGATTGTGGCTTAGACCTGTCATGTAAAATCAATCACCTGAAAAATTGCATAGTATGAAATTAAGATATTTTTTTTTCAACACATATCTTGCAAATAGTAACATTTACAACATACTTCAGTATGAAAGAGTATTAGCAAAAAAATACTGGAGAAGAAACCTCTGGACAAGTCATTATGCAGTTAAGGTGAATTTACTTTCAGTTGTATTGGGTAAGCAACAAGCTAATAGACAATTTTTTTTCATTTAGGATTTTGAGAATAATATTAGCATCACAGAAGGGGAAGCGGTATAATGCTTCAATTTTTATCATTTTAAATAGCTAGTTTGAAGTAGCATCATTATGTAGCAGTTTTTGATCTGTATTATGTATTTTTTTCTTATATGATCAATAAAGCAAAGATGCAATTAATTTACAAAATTCAGATATACAATAGAGGGATTGTGGGAAGCGTGTATGTTAATATATTTTTTCGATCAAGTTTTATTGTAATGAAATCATTGATCTAGAACTTAATAAATGTGCAGTATTATTCGAAACATTTTAGTATAGACGTCACATGTATCACAGGAACAAGTAATAATTTATTCTCAAAACTTCTCGCATATTCTCAAATTATTACGTATATTATTGTAAAAGAATCCCTTGATGATCTTTACCTATGGATAGCATTAAATTCTTTTATTGTTAAATTAAGAAGAGTCCGTTGATCAGATTTTTGTGATGCAATCATATTAACATAATTTTCCCCAAAAAGCGTATTTCAAAATCGATCCTGCAAATTATATAAAAAGGTAATTTCTCAGTTAGTGAACCCCTTTATTTACCTCGCGCAAGTAAAAGCAAAAATCAAACAAAAATAAAACTTACCATTATTAACCATCGAAATCAACAATCAAACGAACTCTCAGTTTCCGCAAAATTATAATAATGTAGGTTAGTTTTATTGCTCGGCTAGCTTCTAGAAGAACATTATCACAATGTTAATCAATTTTTCCGGCTCTATATAGATGCCCAAAGTCAAAGCAGATATTGCCATTTCTGATCTTTTTAACATATTTGATACTCGCCGAGAAAATTGTGATCGCCAGCACGTGCCTCATCGGCGCAGTAAAATACTACAGAGAAAAAATCAAAAAATCGCATGACTGTAATTTCAGCTGGGGTCCCTGCCAAATCTTACCAGGCAGTAACTTGATGTAGTATAGCAAATAATTTAAGCATCTTCACGTGCTGAATTCTTGAATCTTCACGCAGTATCGTCCTGGCGATAATGCAATCAATTCCTTATATAGAAGGCAGAATGGAATATTGTGAAAATGAAGTATATCGGTGTGAATTGAAAATATTATATTTTTACCTCGGTTGCTAATCTCACAAATATACATGCTGTAGGTTCAAAATTACTTAATCTTGGAAAAGTCTTCTTGCAGGGAATATTATTTTATATTATCTGTGTGAGTGGGAGTGATATAAATAGAACAAAATTCTGTAGATATAAGTGTTGTAATTTATTTCGGAATTCAAAGATTATGGGGTAGTTAGTAATAGATGTAGAAATAAATTATCTGTAGAAATTATTCTGAGATCAAAGAAATAACTTGATGCTTGGACTCGCATTAAATGGCCTAGGATCCGCATGCCCTCCCTCTTTGATAGCATCATACTATTTCTATCTATACCTTGATATTCTAATAAAAATATGATTGAAAATTATTGTGATAATCAAATAAATAATTTGAATAAAAATCCCATCAAAACTGCCGGCTGTAGCCAGACGCAGTCATAATGGTTACCTTTATAAGTAAGAATAGTCACCGGCTGTAGCCAGACGTGAACGTATTCTGCTCATACTTCTATAACAACTATCGGCTGTAGCCAGGCACAATGTTATAGGATTGCAAAGTTTCAATTGCTACAGGCTTAAAACAAAATGATCAGCAGGAGTCAGGAGACAATTTTTGCCTAAACGCCAAAAATCAAGATACGTACAATTATTGGTTGATTTAATCGTGACTGACACGTAGATTGTAGACACGTACTAAGCTTTTCCACAAACTTTCATTTCCTTTAAATTCCTACTTAGTAGAAACTCTTTTTTGATGATGGACGACACACTCAAAGAACCACGCTTGAAGAGCTCGAAGTTTTTTAAATACAAATGTCCTGAAGAAATCTTAGACTTACATGAATTCTATGAAGAGCCAGCGTCCAGTTGGTGTCTTGAAACTTTTTTGAACAAGCTTATAGATAAAGAAACGGACTTGGACTTCGAACAATCAAAAGAGCTTTTTTTGGCCAATTTGACCCAAATTCAAAACAAAAGGGCCGTAGATAATCCTATTCGTATGTTTTGTTCTAATTATTTTGACTGGATAAAGGTAACTATCGGTTTTCCTTAGTGAAGCACGGTATTTAAAAGTTAATCTTGGCATCTATCAAAGACATGGAAAGGACAAGCCGTTTCGAACGCATGTTGCGAGTTTTTTAATGAAAGCACAAGATTAAGAACACATTCACGACGGAAGCGCAAACATAATGAATTCGCTGAGATGAGTTTTGTTTTATTTCTTTTGGAATACGATTTTCTCTTTTTTGAAAGTAATCAAAATGTTTATGCGGTTTATTAGGGATTCATCTTTGAAAATGCGAAATATGTGGCATTAAACAATACAATACCCCATAGAGGAACCAATCACTCACACACGAGAAAAAAAAAATTGACTATATTGCTCGGGTAACTTAGTACCCTAAACGTTTTTTTATTTGCAATACATTGAGCCTGGTCCTAAAGGGACCGCTAAAATAAATTACATGATGCGGGACTTGGTCCATGTTACATGACGATTTTTTCTATGCCCCAGTCTTAAAGGAGCCCGCTTCATCATGATAGTCTATCCTATTTATTGCGTCTGTTCTATCCACCACCCAATTTCATCCTGACCTTGGTCGCAACACTAATGAAACCCTTGAAAGGGAACTATGTATTAGTTACAAGCTCTGAAGACGCCTCCTTGCAAATGCTCAGCCTAAACCGAAAGTAAATACCTACCCTTAATTGTCTAATGTTCTCGTCTGGTGTTTCGCTAAGTAACTTTTGTTTTACTGACACTTTTTCAATACGCAGTGAGTATGCCCGTATTTACAGGTTGTAAAATTTTGTTTACCTCAAGAAAGGAATTTTTTTTTCATTTAAGCGAATATATATGCGATTCGCACGTCACACATCCTATTCTTCAGCAAGAGTTTTTCCGATATCGTACTGTGCATTTCAGGTGATCGATCTATCCTGCATTATCACATGAGGTGGCGTAGTATTCCGAATAGTTCTAGGACATTATGGAAAGGTTATAAAGGATTTTTCTGTTACTGTTTCCCGTTTGTCATTTTCCTTTAATCCTAACAAAAAGAGTGTCGCAACAGAAGGCTAAGACATGTCCATTCAAGTTACTCGGGAGACCAGACAAGCCTCCAAAATTAATCAGGTATTTAAGTAATGTTTAAAACAAATTAAGAAATGGCAATTATGGCTAACGAAGTATAATAGATCTTCGCAAAGATTGATGACTCATTAACGCAAATGCAAGGTCAAAACATTGTAAAAATCAATATCCCGGATCTTGAAAAAGTTGGTAAACACATTCGTGAGGCCATACATAGTAATTATAATGCTCAAATAATCAATAGTGACATATTTATTAAGGTAAGTTTTATTCCGAACTACATTTACATTTACTGTATTATTATTAAATCTAACCAATTTATTTAGTGTGATGGGCAAAACAAAGAAGAGATTCAAGCTGAACTTTTGATCTCAGCTAGGGCACATAATCCAGCTTGGGTCGTAACATTAAATACAATATGTGTGGCTGGAGGCAATAGTTATCAACCTGATATTGGCATCTGGTTTCAAAAGCCAACATATGCACAACGTAATAGTCCAATTGTAAATCGGTGTCCACTACCAAATGTATACATAGAGGTAAATAAATTTCTTGCAGAGAAGAATTGTAAATTGCTTTATTTATCAGTTTGAACCTTGCAGGTATTTTATAATCAAGATCCAGATCGAAGGAACGCGTTGGAGAGAATCACTAATGTTCAGCGAACACATCATGCGGTCGAATTTATTGGAATCGCTCTTCCTAATTCAACTTTTCCCTTTCGTCAGAATCCTTTTCCTTGGGCATTCACAGTTCCAGCGACTCAACAACTAAATCAAAGACCTAGTCAAGCTCCATATATAATTTATTGGAATGCTAACCAAACTCCGATTTATTATATAATGGATTGGAATGAGCACTTACCTCTTAGGTTTGGATGGATGCTCAAATTTAATCTTGTGCTTAGTGTGATTGCTCATCCTTAAATGAAGTTGGTATTATATACAACATGAATTAAATGATCAATTCTTTTATCATGTATATTTTGTTTACATAGATAGATAAACGGATGATAAAAAAAATAGCATATTAGTTACATTTGCAAATAATACAAAATAAAGTTCAAATATTTTGCTGAATTACAAATATTCCAATCTCTCATCTCAAATGCATTTGTCAAAGATCATTGGGAAGTATTCGCAAATTCATAGTTTAGTTTTCTCCGAACTCTATAAAATTTTTATAAATATCAAATCTATCTTCAAGTTTAAGAATTTCTTGATTTGTACTCCTGATTCTCTTCTCAGCCTCGATTATTACATTATACAAATCGGTAAAACTTTCTCTGAAGTTTTGGGTTACGATTCTGAGTTATCCTCATCAGAATCTGGTGAAGTACTCAACTCCTCGATAAGCTTTTTCAACATGGGTAATTCATGCAATGTGACTTTTGATCCCTTCTTAACTTTCATTTTTTTTCTGCTGGAGGTATTCTCTATACTTGACCATTTATAGGATTCATTCAGGGTTGTAGAAGTCACAACCTCATCTTGTGAATTATTTGCACCTTCCTCCACTATCATCATCAACGGTTTTGCATTAGAAAGGTAATAATGGATCACTAACATCGGCCATGCCACATGAATCAATATCACCACAAGCATTTAGAACAAGCGATCTAGGTGGGTCTTCTGTTAAAATGGGATTATCACATTTTCCATATGGCCCATAATCTGGAATAGTATTGTTGAATTTAATCGATAAAAAATCTGGCTCCTCACGAAGATTGTCCTCTGAAAGATACTTTAATATATTTAACGCAAGTATGTTTAAGGCTCTGTTGCGAGCTGGTTGCATATTATAAATATTACTACTTTGAGTAGAGGTGATTATGATACCCTCCATATTGATATTCTCAGCAGTGATCGGGTTTTCTTCATCAGGAGACTTCCTTTAACTGAGCTCTCTTGGTTTTCTATGGTAACGTTTTCCGAAAAAAAAAGCCATGTAATTTCTCGCTTATTTTTATAGTGTTAAATCTTTCAGGGGAATCTCACCGATTTTATTACATTTAAAATTAGGACTTGCTAAAAGTTCGCTTAACCATACTGTTAAAATATAAGGAAGATTTCTCGCCTTTTCTTTCTAAATAAATATTTTTTCACTTGTCGAAACTAAACAAAATTAATATATAACCCGAAATGCTCCCTAAGGTTTATCTCAAAATCTTGAAATAATGATCATAAATGAATTAGGATCATCAATGAAAAGATAAGTATTATATTGATTAGTATTTCTCAATTTTAATATGATACAAATAAAAAACTAATCAAATGTTTTTACCTCTTTTATATTTTGTAGTAGTTCAATAATCAAATTGAAAGTTCTTTTGGATTATGATCATTCTAATGATAAAATAGAATTGTCAATCCGGTTATGATATGAGAAAATTTGAGAAAAAAATAAGCTACATCCATGATTCTGGAAATACGTCTTGATTTGGAAATAGATTCTTTCGCTCCTACCTCATATGTTTCACTACCCTGTGATGATTGAAAGGAATTCATCTATCATCACATATCATAAAACTATCCCAAAAAGAATTTTTTTTTTACAATGCAAAGTAATAATTAATTGGATGAATTTTCATCCAGTCTCGAACTTACAATACAATAAGAATATAATACTTACCTTCCTTACCTTAGGCCTCGCTTTAACATTTTGAGAAGAAGATTATTCTGGAAAAATTTGTCTATTCCAGGATTATTTATCAGAATAAAAAAATATATGCAAATCTTACCTCGTACAGCCCTTATTCTTTAGCAAAAATTTTCCAGGTGGTGATTGATCTTACATGATGGAGCTACTCTACTGCATATATTATATTATTCATCATGAACCAATGATATTTTACAGCGCATGATGTATAAGTCATCTATGTGATTCATAAAAAAAAGAAATGAAGTAATAAACCCTATGTGCTATGCAAGAATACGACTCTACCTAAGCCGAAGGTGCTTTACATAAATAATTCTTCTAGGTGATTACCAAAAAGATAATATGACTCATCATTAGTGAAGTTTTTCTTTCGTATCTTCCATTATGATAGTAATAACCTCTATCATATTCACTGTTTCCATTATATCTATTATATCCATCATCATCTAAATCGTTTAGCATCTCTTCTTCAGAATTATTGTCATGACTACAGTCATTATCATTATTCATTTCTTTCACTACCCTAACTGAGTTCTTGTATTGTGTATCCCAATTTACTGTCTCATCATGAATGTTTTTATATAATTCTCCAAATCAGTTGATAATGATGAATTTTCTTCAGGCAAGATTTTTTCGTCAGTTTCAAGATTTCTGGTCACATGATTTTGAAAGAGAACTCCAGCTGAGTTGAAAAATCGTCTGGCTTTGCAGAATTATCTATGAACTCTTGAATTTGATCGTTAGCCAACTCTGAAATGAAATTGGGACTATATTGGAGCTTTGCTATTAAAAATGGGTTCTTAGGACCTTCTAACAAAAAATGAGATTTTTGATTCATATTATAGTATACTAAATGAATTTTATTTGGTTAAATTTTTAGAGTCTATTAGCTTATTAATAAAGCAAGCAATTAAGGCTGGCAAAAATGCTTAAAAT